ATCATCATCATCATCATCATCATCATCATCATCATCATCATCATCATCATCATCGTTGTCGTCGTCGTCGGCATTCCCTTGACTGCTGTCCACTGTGCGGTGTTGCACCCGACCAGCCAAACCTCTTATCTCCTCCTCCTCCTCCTCCTCCTCCTCCTCCTCCTCCACATCCTCATCCTCCACCTGCATCATGTCTCTGTCCAAGTGCTCAGGACGTGCGGTGGGTGTAAGGGCACAGACCACCAGACCGTAATCCGTGTCGACAACGTGATCATCGCCACCACCGCCACCACCACCAGCGTTGTTGTCGTCGTTGATGGTGCCGCGCGTGTGGACAGTTTCCTCGATGCCGAAGAAGGAGAGTTGAGACACGTGCGGCACAACGCGCCGTGCCACGTGCTGCAGCCCCATCTCGCGCTCCACACTCCACTGCTTCGCTCGCACCTGCGGCATGCTCAGCTGTGGGCAGTAGCATTGCCAGAGCGAGTCAAGTTCCACAGGCCCATCTCGCTCCAGCCGCACCCCCAGCAGCGCAGGCATCCCCGTCAGGTGGATGGTGGTGGCGTTGGGCAGCACAAGTTGCTCCACCCCGTTTGTGTACAAGACGGCAACGCGCTGTGCCCCCACCGTGATGGTGCTCATGCCCTCATCAAACAGAACCGAATTCAGGATCACGCCGTCCGTCACCGTCGCAAGCGGACGCGCACTTGTTGTGCGCACAACCTCCAGCTCAACGCGTTTTGCCGCGGCGAGTGGGGTAATGCCTTGCGCAACGTGCAACCCATGGATGATGACGGTTGGCACGCCCTGGACGATGCGCACGTCGCGCACAGCTGTCAGCAGCACCTGCTCGTCATCGTCATCGTCAGCGTGGCCCACACGTGTCAGTCGGGCGTGTGCAACGCGACGCCACGTGCCGCGAAGCTGCTGCTGGTCCTCGGACACGCCCCAGACAACCGAATGTACGTCGCACAGGTCAAGCCTAGCGATGGGGGAGTTGCGGCACACAATGTCGACTGTCTTTGCCTGCAAGCACGCCAGGTAGCGCAGTGGGCCAATCACCATCGCCGACATTGAGTACATGTACGCGTCGTGCAGTGCGCTGCGCAGCCGCATCACGCTGTCGGCGGTCTCCTGGTTGAGGAGCGTGGCCTCGAGCGCAAACGCGCCCACTTGCAGACAGGGCGGACCATCATACCGAACGTGCTGCAGCACGACATCATCATCATCATCATCACCATCATCATCGTCGGCATCATCATCATCATCATCATCATCATCATCATCATCATCATCATCATCATCATCATCATCATCATCATCATCATCATCATCATCATCATCATCATCGCTATCAAGGGTGGGGTGGGCGTCATCGCCTGCTGCTGGTGGGGATGATGGTGCTGTGGCGGCGGCAATGGCAGCAGCAGCAGCCGTTGTGCCTCCAACCCATGTCGCCAGCTCAGACACGCGCTCAAAGAACAGAACGCCAACACGTTGAAACCGTTGGCAGAACTGCACAGACACGACGCTTCCAAACACGCGGCGCTGTAGATATGGGCCCGCGGGTCTCCACGGAACACCCAGATGCGAATACACCAGGAATCGCTCTTCCAGCCACGCGTCATACACGCTCATGCCGCCAACTGCATTGCTGCTGTTGCTCTCGCTGTTGCCACTGCTGTCGCTGTCGCTCATGCCACTGCTGCTGCTGGTGCTGCTGGTGGTGGTGCTCGTACATGTTGTTGTTGTCGGTGATGGATCCTTGCTGGCCACGCTGTGCCTGTGCTCATCACGACCGCCACCGCCACTGCCACCGCCACCATCACCACCACCATCGACGTCATGGGGGCGGGAGTGGGCCTGGCCTTCGCTTGTGTGTGGTGACAGGGAGGTGCTGTACTCGATGCCGGTCAGCCCAGTTTGGTACGTGTCAATGAAGTGGTAGCGGGCAAGCAGGGCCGTAGGGATGGAGCTGGTCAACAGCAGCCACTTTGGCATGGCCAACGCCAGCTCGTGGTACAGCACGCGGCACGTGAACGTCAGCCGAAAGAATGCCGTCCAGCCCTCAAATCGCTCGTCGTCGTCGTCCAACTTGGCGTTGCTGGCGATGTGCAGTTGCGGCCACTTGAGCTCAGGCTCGTGTTTGTCTGCCTCCACCAAATGTTTGGCAATCACCACCCATACGTCGACGCACAGGCCGCCTGGGGAGTGCTGGTTCGACGCGATAGCGTCCTCGCAGTCTTCATCGCCTTGGGCCGGTTGCCGATGCTGTCGGTGGTCGCGTCTTGGCGACTGTGGCCGCTGTTGGTGCTGTTCTCCAAGCATTGTGCTGGCGCTGCAACGCTGCAACTAGAACCATGCAGCTCTTGTCTTGCTTGAGAGCCGCACACGCACACACACACTCGGGCCACACGAACACGTGGGCAGAGGCGTTGTCTTACTCTCTGGCTGATGTACGTGAAAGAGAGTGGGTAGGGCTTCGTGTACGCGTCAAGGG